AAATGATGAGGACGATGAGGATGAGAACCAGGACGAGGGGTGCCAGGAAGACGACTACGAGGATACGGATAAGGAGGAGAACGACGATGAGGAGGATGAGGAAAACATGGTGAGGACGAGGATGATGATGATGACGAGGATGATGATGAGAAGGAGGAGAGGGAGGAGGATGAATACGACACTGATGCTAAGGAGGAGGACTAGTGACAGGAGGAGGAGGAGGATAATATCGAATATCGAGGTTCGCTCGAGGAGCGAGGATCGAGATTTGATCGAAGATCGAGGAGGGAGAATCGATCGAGAATTGAAGATCCCTCGAGACTGAAAGTTCAGAGGGTGGCGGAGGAGAGAGGAAAAGAGGGCCCTGGGGCCTGCCAGCGCACTCCGGAGCGAGCCAGTGCTCGCTCTGTTGGGAAATCCTGGGCAGCCGTCCTCGCCACAGCTGGACTCGCCGAGGGCCGAGCCAGAGCACGATGCAACCCCGGGGACCACTCGCTCCGATCGCCAGTGGCGCCAGGGGCGTCCTCCTTCTCCTCTCCCTCCTCCTCCTCCTCCTCCTCCTCCTCCTCCTCCGCCTGCACGGTGGGAGGAAGGAAGAATAAGAATTTCCACAACTGCAGCGCTGCAGAAACGAAGGGAAATGCCACAGCCGCGGGGGGGGGGGAATCACCCGCTGTGCACCTGGAAGGGCCCCCCCCCCCCCCAGCGCGCCAGGAACGACGAGAAAGAAGGCAGAGCGAAGGGAGGGGTTGTCTCTCTGACGCCCCCCCTTCGCTGGGGGAGGGGAGGGGCCCTTAGCCCTCCCCCAGCCTCTCGTTTGCGGGGGGGGGGGGCTTCCCCCCCTAGCCCCCCCCCCTGCCATTTGAGCGCCGGGGGGGGGGGTCCCCCCCCTTCCGACCCCCCCTGCGATTTGTTATGTTGAGTATCGCTCTACCAAATAATCCAATCCCCAAAACAACGGGACAATCCCCGAGGCAATCCGGACAACCCATGACGATTCCATGTCGCAAGACGACCTATCCCAGACAACCCCTTGGACGACCCAGCGGGGATCTGGACAACCCCGCCAGACACCCCTCTTTGGACAGGCTTCACCAGGATTTGCCTTCCCTCAGATATGCAGTCGGGGCGTTGACCTAAGGAACCCTAAATAAGGAACGAGGCCCCTCTTTTCCACAAGTTAAACTTCGATCTCCGATCGAAAACATAAGGACAACCTGAGGCAAGCTGTGAAAAAACACTTAAGGAACACGGAGCCCCTCCCCAACGAGAAGGGTTCCTTCTTCAGGGCCCCGACTGTAGAGCCGGCCCTTTGGGCTCCTCCGCCTCCGACCCCGCGGCGCGCTTCCGGCGGCGGCGTGGGCCTGTGTCGGCGTCCCAGAGCCGCGCCTGCACCCCCCGCGCGCGCCAGGCTGGCGGCGCCCCCCCCGGCGGGCCGCGGCGCGGACGAGGCCTCCTGGGTCATCCTCCCGGGCCTTCCTCCTCCTCCTCCTCCCCTCCATCCACATCCTCCTCCTCCTCCTCCTCCTCCTCCTCCTCCTCCTCCTCCTCCTCCTCCTCCTCCTCCTCCCCTCCATCCACATCCTCCTACTCCGCCGCCTCCTCCTCCTCCTTTTCCTGCTCCTCGTGCTGGTGCTCCTCCCTCCTTCGCCCCGGGATGGGCTTCTCCTGTGGCCTTCGGTGCAGGGGCCCGCCGCCCCGAGGGGCTGCGCGGTCCAGGGCGCCAGGGTCCTCCCCCTGTCGTCCTCTCCTCCTCCGGCTGCTCCGCCCTTTATCCTCATCCATGACTCCTTCCTGGCGCACCCCCAGACGTACTGGTCGGGCGGGCCGGGCGTTTCGCCTGAGATCCCCTCACCATTTCATGATCCTGCAGCTTGATGTTTTCCAACCGCTTCACGGATGGAGGGCGGTTGGTTTTCCAAATGTTGCTCTCGCCGAAGCAGTTCGCCCATTCGTCCTCAGAGCTTGCAGAAGTGTCAAACATGGGGCGCGGGCCATCTTCTGAACATGGCTCTCGCCCTAGCGCCGTGCACATTCGCCATAAAAGCTTGCGAGAATGTCACGGATGGGGGACGAACCCTTTTTTCAAATGTGGCTCTCGCCGTAGCGCCGCGCACCATCGTCTTACAAACAAATGAGCAGCTTCCAGGATGGAGGGCGAACCGTTCTCCAAATGTGGCTCTCGCCGCATCGTCTCAAACAAACTGCAGCAGCTCCAAGGATGGAGGGCAAGTCCTTTTCCGAATGTGGCCTTCGCCTTCGCGCAGCCGACATTCGTCTTACACGTGTGCAACAAATTCAAAGATGGAGGGTGGGCCCTTTTCCGCGCCGCTAACACTCGCCTTGAACACATGCAACAGTTTCAAGGATCAGTACGCTTGAAGTCCCAACATTTTTTCCAGGTGCGATGTGGACTTGCCAGGAAGCAGCAGCCAACGTTGACCCGCGGTGTTGAAGCTCCAGCAATGGTGTTCCAACACGATATAATAATGCCTGGAAGTAACAACTACGTTGATGCTGCTGCTGATGTCACTACCGATGCTGATGATGACGATGATAATGGCGATGATGAGGACGATTATGATGATGATGAGGATGATGCTGATGCTGCTGATGACGATGCTGCTGATGATGATGACGATGCTGATGACGACGATGCTGATGCTGATGGTGACCATGATGATGCTAATGCTGCTGATGATGCTGATGATGACGATGGTGTTGATGATGATGCTGGTGGTGATGATGATGCGATCGTTGATGGCGTTGATGCTGATTATGATGATGCTGATGATGATGCTGATGATACTGCTGCTGATGATGCTGCTGCTGATGATGATGATGATGTCGTTGATGCTGATGTTGATGTTGATGATGATGATGATGATGATGATTATGATGTTGATTATAATGATGATGCTGATGATGATGATGATGCTGATGATGATGATGATGATGATGATGATGCTGATGGCGGTGTTAATGATGCTGATGCTGCTGTTGATGATCTCGGTGGTGATAATGGTGATGCTACCATGCCATGGTATGAGCTGTCACGGTGACGGAGACCATGCGGCAACTGATCATGATTCGGAGGGTATCGAGATTGTCGGTGGTGATGCTGCCGATGATGCTTGTTACGCTGGTGATGTGGTGGAGGAGGAGGAGGGGAAAGAGGAGGACAGGGACGATGATGAGGGCGGGGCACGAGGATGGAAACAAGTCGACAGCCCGCGGACGGGAGAACGTGGTCGAAGAGCAGCGCAGCCGGCGGAGGCGCCGTGTGGTCCTGCAGCAGGGGTGGGGGTGGGGGGGGTGGGGCAGGCGTTCGAAGAGAGGCCCCCCCCCCCAGGGTGCCCTGGAGGCCTGGCCGTCCTCCTCCTCCTCCTCCACAATTACACAATATGAAAACACTCTCCCACTTCCCCTGATGGCGTCCGGAAGATATTCGGCACCCCCCCGCGTACTGTTTTTTTACACACAGGATTCCCCGGAGTTGGGTTTTCGCTTGTGTTTTTTTCAAAAATGCTGCTCTCGCTGAGGCGCCGGCCTCATTTCTGCTCCCGAATCGTTCCGAATCGTGCTCCCGCTGCAGCGTGGGCCTCATTTTCGGATCGGTGTTTGGCCTCCGTCGTTCAGGATGGCGTTCTCGCCCCAGCGCGGGCCTCTTTCTCGCGCGCCCATCCGCCCGCCACCACCGCGCCGCACCACCACCACCACCACCACCACCACCACCCACCAGCACCACCCACCAGCACCAGCACCAGCACCAGCACCAGCACCAGCACCAGCACCAGCACCAGCACCAGCACCAGCACCAGCACCAGCACCAGCACCAGCACCAGCACCAGCACCAGCACCAGCACCAGCACCACCACAACCACGCACACACGCACGCACGCACGCACGCGCACCACCACCCACTACGCACGCGCGCGCGGAGCCACAGGTCCGCTACGACACGCGTCCGCGGATAGAGAAAATCAGCGCCATGGTAAGGGATGGGAGGGAGGGGTAGGACGTCAGATATGACGCGAGCGCACCTAGCTTGTCCTCCTCCCCCTCCTCCTCCTCCGCCTCCTCCTCCCGGGATGGGTGGGCGGGACCCACCGTGGCTCCCCAGGAAGGGTGGGCACGACCCCTCCCGGCTCCCCAGGTGGGCCCGCAGGGCCCCCCTCCTGGCCCCCCAGGATGGAGGGACGGGATCCCCGGGGGCCCCCAGGATGGGTGGGCAGGGCCCTCCCCTGCTCTCCAGGATGGGTGGGCAGGGCGCTTCTCGCCCCCCCCGGATGGGTGGAGGGGGGGACCCTTCTTGGCCCTCCTCCAACTCCTGCCGCCCCCCTTCCTCCCCTTCCCCCCCACCTTCTTCTCACTCCCTCCTCTTGCTCACCCTCCGCCGCTTTTTGGTGCGCGCGGCACTAGGAACACGCCCAGTGGGTCTGTGCGCCTCTCCTTAGCCAGCACCTCCTGCGCTCTCCCTTCCTGCGCCTCCGCTGCCTCCTCCTTGTCCTCCTGTTCCTCTCCATCCTCTCTCCTCCATGCAAGCGGCGAGGATCATGTATAGAGAGTGTGTGAAAGAAGCAAAGAAAGACAGCATGGAACAGCGAGGGAGTGCGAGGGAGAGAGAATGAGAGGGACAGATATAATGAAGAGAACACGGGGTGGATGGGGGGACACATGCACGGAGGATGAGGACGAGGGGTATGAGAAAGTTATAAGCCCAACTTGCAACAAGGACAAGACAACGGTGGAGGAGGACTCTGATGATTTTGTAGCTGCCGCACAATCTGCTGGGCTTCTCGGTCTACATGCACGACCCTCGCCGAACCTCGTTCGCAGTGAGGCTTGCAGGCCAAAGGGTAGCATGTCAACCAGTACTACCAGTGGGCGAGTGCCGCTGGGCTGATGGCGGAGAGCATGGAGAACGGGCTGAGGCATCGAGTAGGGGCCGGAAGAGAGCCGCCGAGCGCAATCACAGGGACAAGCGCTGCCTTACCCACTCAGTCCTCGCCCTCCTGCTCCTTTCCCTTGCGGCGCCTCAGTGTGCGCAGCTGCTTCGTGGGCTTCGGGAACGGGACCCGCACGCCGTCTCTCAGGAGGACCGGCTTGTAGAACGCCGGCACCTCCTCGCTCATCATGGGGCTGTTCCGATAGCGGCTGACGTTCTCGCTGAGGCCCTGGCAGTTGCTCCAGCGCATGCTGCACGCCGTCTTGGAGAACGAGGATGCCCAGCCGTCGAAGCCCTCGAAGGCAAGCATGAACTCCTCCGCTCGCTCGGGGGTGGTCATGTTCAAGAACGCGTGATAATGAAAAAGTCCAAGGGCTACTTGAACACAATGCCAAAGATTACCGCGAAGCTCGAGCCCATCTTGAAATCGTGGAAAACGATGACAAGGGGGACGACATACCATTAGCACCGCAATCAGCCAGGTGATCAGCACGGTCATTTAGTACGGCACCGCTGTGAGAAACAACCTTGGTCCACGTAATATGATGATCGATGCTGTCAAGGATCTGCCGCGTCCTCAAGACAATAGTCAAGTTGCGACGAGCACGGGCGTGTCTGCGAACAACGTCTGCAGCATATTGAGAATCAAACTCAACAACAAATGATGAGAGATGTACGGATTGAAGACGATGACGAAGATCGATAGCGGATAGGCCGGCACGCCCGTCCAGACCGTTACGGGGGCCACTGGAATTTCCGAGCGCCGCCCTGTGATGTTGTAGGATAAGTTGTAAACAATGGTCTGTGTCAGGAGACAACAAGTCGCTGATGAAGTTGAGGGCAAAGTACAAAGACGTGATCTCCCCCACATTGTTGGAATGCCGTGTAGCACCAACGAAAGCCTCATCATCACGGGCAAGGATTGTAGGACCACAGAAATCCAGCAGCTGGTCGTAAAAGGGGAGAGCCACCGTGAAGCCCCACCCAGACTTAGGCTCGTCCCCGTTGAGAGTTGCACTGCCGTCACACGAGACCACCACGTTAACCGGGTGCTGGAAAACCGTACTGGGGAGTTGCGGTGGCAGGCTGGCCCCTCGCGGAAGGCCGTCGTCCATATCGTGCGCAACTGGTGTGATGACACGCTTGATGCGCCGTAGCGGAGGTAAGGCGCTCGCGTAGATGAAGTCGACAGGTTGCGAAACTGGCCGGTCCAAATCCAAGCGAACATGTCGATGGTGGCGCGCGTCCGCGCACGCCTGAATAGCGATAGCGTTGACCCATAACAAATATTGTGAAACACATACAGCATGGTGAAGAGAAAGACCAGCAGGTAATCGAGAAGGGATAAGACCACAACGTGCGAGACAAGGAGGGAGACCATCCGGAAACTGGTTGCCAAGAGCCTGTTGGTCAAGCCAGGCGCGGGCCTCTTGATTACACGGACAGTGCCACAAACGGTGTTCAGTTGTCTCCACTGCTGTGCCGCAACGTACACAGAACTCGTCGCCATCGTGGTAGGCGATGCGTGAAACGTGTAGCCGGGTCCACAAGCCAGCGGAGGTGAGGGCAGGACCTCCGAAATGTAGTTGAGCAGCATAAAGATGCTCCCGTGCGTCTCGGTTCTCGGTGAGGCCGTTTGACAGGCCGCCAAAGTCTTTGGGCCTCCGCCTCGCTTCGCTTCCAGCGAGGGCAAACCGAAGAAAATCTCGTAGTTTATGAAGCTGTGATTGCACTTGAACCCGTTTGCAAAGACCTGGAAAAGCACCCCGGCCGGCATCTGCAAGAAGGTCTGGACGGATGGTGAAGGCGAACCTGCGAATCCCAGCCTTGAAAGTGGTAGCTGTGTGCCAATCAATCTGGAGGGTCGAGCACGCCCGCGAAAGAAGCGTAAGGGGCCCAAAACGTATCCGACTGCGGTGAGCCCATAAAAACTGCCAGTCGGCTGGTTGAAGAATCCCAGCCAAGATCACACGATAGAATAGCCGAACAACGCTGTAGATAGCCACGCACCCAAAGTGAGTCCTGTGACAACCAGGCCCAAGAAGATGAGTAAACTCTCTCGACCGGCGAATAGTACGTCCCTCGGGAATGTTGCCCATAAGAGCAAGAGCTGCCCAAGAACACGCTTGACGAATATCACGTACAGTATAGGCATAACCCCCGTCGCACCACACCGCTGACAGGGCATCTGCGACCGCCGCGCCTCGTTGAACGTAAGGTAGTACACGAGCGACATGTAGCCGTTTGCGAAGCTGGTGAACACGGCGGCCGGCCACTGGAGCAGCAGACGGTTCGCCCAAAACTAAATCGATACCCAAATACCGAAAATGTTTGCATAGAGGTATGTCTCGAAGACTCTGCTCTGCACACTTGGGGGCACTGCGGCCCGCAGGAACGACGACGCCTCGAGCGCACTTCGGTAGATTAAGATCAGGACCAATGGCCAAATCAACGCGTTGAGTAGCCTCAAGTACTCGAGCCAATTCGTTCCAGGACGCAACAAAGACAAACCGGTCGTCCAGGTAGGAGAAGTGCTTGGCTGTCGGTACCTCTTGGGACACCGTCAAATGCCACATGATGGACGTCAGGTTGCATAAGAAGCAGGCCATCGGGCAACCCTGGGGGGCGCCCACCAACCCGGAGCCCTTGAGAAGGACGTCCGTGGGCTGGTTGTCCACGAAGAGGATGCGCTCGAACGTCTGGTAGTTGCGAAGCACGTGGCCGCATATCGGTAGCCCAAGATGATCTGTGAGCCGCAGAAGATTAAGAATATCAAGTCGGTCGTAGCATTTTTCTAAATCCATAGATAGAACAAACGCAGGAGGTATTCGACCAAGACGAGCTTGAGCGAGATGAGCTTGCAACTCCCATAGAACATCAGGGCAGGAATGGTGCGGTACCGCTCCCACTAGGCCGTCCGGCTTCCAAGTCGCCAGCCAGGTATTTAAGGCTGCTGCGTGTCGCCGGGCCCAGAGCCGATACGTCACGGGTAGTACAGTGAGTGGTCTGCGCTCGTCAGGCGGCGCCTCCGGGCCTTTGGGGATAAGGGTCACGCGAGCCATGCTCCAGAAGTGCGGCAAACGGCCCTGGTCAGCAGCGGTGAGCAGCTGCGCCAGCCGCTCCAGAGAGTCTTGATGAAGATGTTCAATCCACTTAGCGGCATGCCCGTCGATCCCGCTCGCGCCGTCGGGGAGGAATGCGATGACGTGCTCCGCCTGCCACGGCTCCGGGGCGCGAAAAACAGGCACATCTGGCAAGATAGACAAATCAAAGGGATGTCGTTGGAGAGGGGCTGGTGGTGGGACATGTTGTCGAAGAAGGGCGTGATCCAGGGGAGAACGTACAAAATCGACACACATTCCAGGCAGATGAGATAACTGAAATACGCCAGTATTCCAACGCTTGGCCAACGAAGTGCTGAGTCTACGTGCCAATTCCCGTGGCGACATAGTCTCTGAACCAAAAGCAGGCAGAACAGCTTCCCGCAGAACGTTAAGTCGTTGTTTGACCCACCTGGCCGCGCCACCTCGTGTGGCGACCCGCTGCCTCCATGAGTGGAGGCGCTGGCTCGTGGCGTCGTCGATGATGCTGGTGATCATGCCGATGGTATGCTCGGCAGCGTCGTGATCGCTGCGATGGAGTTCACGACGA